TAACAGAAAACTCACTTCTGTGCTCTTGGGTTTCCCTATAAGAACTTTTATTGGCACCAATGTTGTAGTTGCAAGATCATACAAAAAGATTACGCATGCTTGGCAGAGATCTCACAGGTGGAAATAAGACCATTGGTAAAGCTCATGACACCAAAAGGGATAGGTATTCCATATGGTATCACAGCGTTACTATTATTGGCCTATGTGTGAGAAGGATACTGCACCTTAGTGGTTTCAACTTAAATCAAAAATTTTGACTTTACAGACTAATTTTGTTTTTAAACGCTCTTTTGCATTGGCCAACGAAAAGCTCTTATTAGGCGCCGCGAAGTAAGCGGGCATTGGCTAGTTATTTGTATAAAATTTATATACAATGGAATTTGAAAAATATGAAAGTTTCAGCAAACTCTTCAACTGGTCGTCAGGTTAGGTTAGAATGGTGTTGGAAAAACTTTTACGCCCAAGTAGCAGCTAAGCGCAATTTTGATACCATATACCGCGAATAAATATGTTGGAACCAACCGGCGTGGTTGATAAGGTTGAGTATGTGCCGGAGGCTTTTCAATTAAAATAGCTTAAGTGACTTTAGAAGGCTGGACTTTGGGTTTAAGAATTTGTAATTTGCCCTTGAATTTTATTTTTATTTTTATTAATCTTCTATTAGAAGGGCATCTTGAACTACACCTATGGCTAGTTAAACATTACAATATTGTTTGGAAACCCAATAAAATGTTGCTTTAAAGGGAAAAGAGCCCATTCCGACTTACGCTACTATAATTGAGTGGCATAGATATGTACGTATGTATGGATATGTAAATGTCTTGAACTTACGGATATGAATAGCTGTAAACTAACTTAGTTTGCAGGTAAAAAAATATTTTGAATGTTTTGGGTGTTTTTACTTATTTAATTATTTGTAATCGTATCTATTAATAAATTCAAAGTTTAAAACTAAACTGTGACGTACATACATATGTACATTGTGACAAAACTTTTTTAACGTTTGTAAAATTTTGATTTCAATTCCCAAACCTCATAAACAGAAGGAATGATATTGTGCATACATATCGTATCGTGGAATGCAAAAAGACGTAACAAACACCATCGCTGAAATGAAAAAAGTCATAACTAATAAAAAATTCCAAATTCACTTTTTGATTTATTTGATGGATTTCATCGAATTACAACCCCCACATCATTTTATAAAAAAAAATAAAAATATTAGTCACGACTTTTTCCGTTTCAGTTGCGATGTTAAGTAAAAAGTATAAATAAGTATAAGTATAAAGGAAAGCCATAGGAATTAAAAAGCCAAATAAAAAGTCCTAAAGTAATGTGCACTCTAAAAAAAAATTGTGTAGATTTCCTAGCTAAAAGGTAGGTTACTGATTTCCTACCTTATTATTCGCGAAATTACATGCTCGATTATTCAACGAATAGTTTGTTTAAATTTCGGACTTTTTAGAGTGTAATATAGATGCTGTGGTGTGCGTAAATTTATTACGGAAGTGTGTACAAGCTACAAAATACACGTCTGCTGTTTGATTTCACCCGTAGAATTGTGTAAAGCCGCTAACAAAAAGGATTTTTACACACGAAAATGTGTAAACGAGAAAAATACATATTCATCGTGTAAATTTACAATGAAATTCGATATATAAACAAAAATATCTTCGATTTATAGTCGCAATTTTAAACAGATTTTTTAAAGTGTGGTCGAAACACGCTTAAGTGCATTTGCTGACGCGTTTTAGCATTAGAAATATAAACATACAATATTTTATAATAATTTGCCTTGTATTAAGAGTTAGATTAAAACATTTAGACATATCTGAAGTATGCATACATATAAACATACATACAGCTTAGTCTTACGTAACTTCTTTGTGAGGCAAATAAATCACCATAACTGAATCAAAAACATTTCAAGGCAAACGTGAGAGATATTAATAAATATTTTTATCTAATAATTGGGGTGTTAGATTATTCGACTTTTTCCAAAACTGGTTTTCGAACTATCTGAAAAAATTGCAGTTTGAAAAAACCGGTTCCCGATTTTGGAATAAAAAAACCGGATAACCCGTTTCTATTTTACATAGTTTTCATACAGTAAAAAAGTTTATGTTGGCATGAATCTATTGTTGTTGTCTTTTGTCTTCTAGGCTTTCTCATGACTTTATTCAGAATAATAACAGTGCACAAAGGACCATGATGTATTCCTAATGTAAAAACAAAAAATAATGTGTTCGAAACTTTTATACGTGCCGTGTATTACATTGATGCTTTCCTTATTAACGACCGCTGCTTTGCGAATGGAAGCATCCACTACAATGAGCATACACAGCGCTGGCGCTCCCACTAAGGTAAATATTTATTTGTGAATTAATAAAGAAAACAATAATAGACATACATATTCGTATATGCAAAAGTATGTATGTATGTATGTATGCAAATGTATTTTGTACGAGGAATTTAATGAAGGTCTAGAGGAATCGCTCACCCTCTTGTTATTAGTTGCATTAAGAAACCCCAAAATTAAGATAATTAAAAATCAGTGATCTGCGAAGGTGAGTATACCGGAAACGGACTCGGAATCGGAGTTGTAAGATTTAATTTATCGCAGTCACAACCGAAATCGGGAGCGAATTACAAGCGTGAACGTAAAAAATTTTCAGCCCTTTAGCTGAAGGCAATAGGCATAGATAGCCGAGACCTTTTACAAAGTTGAAGGGAAGGTCCTTCAGAACTTCGTTAAAACGCCGATTTAAAATAGTTACAACTGGTATCAGAATCGGAGGTTCAATCGGAAGTTCCGACCTTTAAGAATCGAAGTCGAAGGTCCGTAACATGTCTAATTCATATGACTTTTGAAGGAACCCAGCGTACCAACATAAGAGCCTTTAGCGAGAGTTTCACAAAATGTCCTCAAATAAGCAAAGAACGGTTGGGAAACATTTTTAATCCGCTTCGAAGAGTATTATTTGGTAATGAGTCATCAAAATGCGTATATTTCAACTCTTTTTAAGGAGCTAGTAACTTTTAATGAAAGCTCTTCTTATAGAGACTGTCTATCACTGAGGATAAATAATCTGAAAAGCATCTTGTAAATGTTTGTAAACGAAAACAATCAAAGTAGTTTTAAAACAGGAATTTTTTATAAAAATTCATAAATTTCGAACTTTCTCTGGGCATGTTTTCAGCTTCAGGTAATTTTTACCGTCTGCCGTGATAGGCCGATCTTCCACTCAGCCCTCGATAATATACTCTTTAATAGAATTATAAACGAGAAACTGAGCAAAACCCTTTTTAGAGTTGGTTGTTTCTTCCAACAGTGTGAGAAGTTCTTAGAACGAAAAATGACACTGAAGATGGCACCACAACGAAACCGGTTTGTCTCCAAGCAAATTTTGACAAGGGATCACGAAAATTCGTTCCAAAATACATCATTTTAATATTTGTTGATTTTTCTAAGTTTGTTCAACTTCTACTCCCTTTGAATCCAAAATATGCGTGGACAATAAAAAAGTTTACCCTCTTTTACATATTTATTTCTATCACTTTGTCGATTTCGATTGCAAGTGGTTTACTAAATTATTTATTAGCTAAATTAATTAAAACTTATTAAAAGAGTTTCTAATATTTCTATTGCAGCTTCTAACACAACCTGGAGAAATAGCAGGTAAATTGCATTCATTAAAACATGGTTCCATGCAAAACTGAAATATATTCAAGCTCTTAAATAATACTCCACAGGCATCAGCACCAATGTTACGTTACACGAAAAGGGCGACATTGTACAATTTCTAATTAGCTGGGATGACAACTTGCCAAAGGGTGAGTCTCATATTATTATAATTTTTTTTTAATGAAATTCGATATTGACTTAAAGTGCCCATATTACAGGTACATCATATAATGTTATTGTGACTGCATTAAATTCAACGGAATGTAGTGAGCCTCCCTGCAGTGTCTATGGAATTATAAAAGTTAGTAAAAATAATTCTAATTTCTAATCTATTTGTGTTGCTATAAGCTTTCAGTGCCTAAAACAAATTTTCGTACAAACGTGGCAGCACTTTCTTATCACGAAGAGCATAGAATATAGGGGATCCACAAACATAGCCAGCATCCTTATTTTCAATGATAATTGATTAAGTGTTTTACTGTAAAACTTTTTTTCAAGGTTTCCATTATTATTTCTTAAGTTTTTTTTTCTAAATGAAACGATTCTAACTGAAATTACTGAAATTATAAAAATAATGCTAATTCCCTCAAAAAAATCATGGATATGAAAAATACAAGCTGTAGCTACAGTGGCAAAAATATAAATACGGAAGAGACATTTTAGCATTCTTTGGCTATTGCCCTTTCGATTATTTAATATTTTTTATTTTTATAAAAGTGTAGCTCGTTATATAACAAAAATCATGTAAGTCAAACTTGTACAAAAATTAGCAAAATTCGATAAATATTCATAAAAATTTTGAGCATTTCAATTAGATTTCTTAGAAAAATTTTGAGCATGCTATTTCTCAGCCCATTAAATTTTAGTATAACAAAGTGCAAATTTTAAGTAGCTAGAACATACTGCATACAAAAAAATTGTCGAACATATTTTGTACGGAAGAAAATGCGCAAACAAAAAATTGCCAAAAATCAACAAATTAAACAACATCGAACTTGCACCTTGTTATACTAAAATTGAATGGGCTACAAAACTGCATGCTCAAAAAAGTTCTAAAAATCTGATAAAAAAGTTTAAAATTTTGATAAACATTTGTATAAATTCGTCGATTTTTTTTAATGTTCTACAAAGTTGGTTGTTTTGATTTACATGGTTTTTTAGATCGAAAGCTATATTTTCATTAAAAAACAATAAAAAGTTTTTAAACAAAGAAAAGTAGCCAAAACTTGCTAAAATGTCTTTTCCCTATTTACATTATCGCCACCGTATTTATTGTGTGTATGTATTTTTGTGATCATTTTTTCAATTTTTTACTCTTTACTTTGTCCTAAATAAAGCTGTATTAAAAGGTGTTATGTATTTTAATTCTAAAAACAAAATTGTTCCGATTTTTGTCCACAGAAATCTGGTCACCGTACTTATATGTCGTCTTGGTACCGCATTTGCTTTCGAACTCAAAAAGGACTGAAAGAATACAATTATACCTACTTTTCCATCCTTTGTTAGAATAATAATCTGTTAAATTTAAACGTAAAAAAAATATTCTTTTTTGAATTTTAACAACCACACAGATGTTTTCTATGCGGTTAATTAACCAATACCACGCTCCCCATTCCAACAAAAAGGCAGAAGAAAGTTTAAGACAAATTTAACGGCTGATATCTTGAAAACAACATTCAGTCACTCAGTCGCAATTTTTATTGAATTGTTATGACCTCGAAGATTTGAGCTCGAAATTACTTATAAAATGTATACCGTTTTCATTCCCAAATTGTAACTTTCTAAGTATATAAAATGTAAAGATTTTGAAAATATTCCACAAACCCAAGGTATTTAAGCCCCATTTTGCTAATTATTTTGATCTATAAAAATTTTATGTACGACTATTACACAAAATTTTGTTTTCATATTTACGCAAAGGATGCGAAACAAGTGATTATACCAGAAAATCCTATGACACAAGTGGATCAAAATGAATGTGGTTTCATGTTTGGATGCAATTATTCCGTAATGGTGGAAACATCTAATACAGCGATTTCACAACATTCGACAGTGTCGGTGCCATGTGAGTACAAAATTAGATATATCGCACACCATCTTCAAAAGAGGCACAACTCAAAAATCAGATCCGAAAATATAACTGCATGTGGATGGTCAAGATTCAACGCAATTAATACAAAAAACTGGTATAACAGTAGTTTTTAGAGTTGTGTCCCTTTTGAAGAGGGTGTGCGATACACTTAGTGGACTTCATTTATAAAAACTGAGCTTAAGCTCAGATTCAATTTTTACACTGATGAAGTGAGCTCAAGAATTTGCTCTGAAAATCGAGTCGAAGCTTAAGCTCACTTTTTATGCATGAGGCCTAATGGCTTACGTATATGTAAACATACAGTAACTAAGTAACGTGTATGCACACATTTTTCTTAACAGATTGCATTAAGGATGTTTGTTCCTGTCGACATGCTGAAAAACTACCCAAAGTCACATCGTCCGTCTATATACCCAATAATGAAACGATAATTTACAATTGGTCAATAAGATATGAAAACGGCAGCAATCATTTCCAGTACGATGCAAAGGAATCAGATCAGAACTGGAAGTTGTATTTAATGTGAGTTGCACTCCAAATTTTCAATGACATACTTATCTATAGTAATGTATTAAAGTTAAAGTAAAACGATAAATCTGCATGGCTCCACGAGGCTGAAACTTGGCAGGATCTGATAATTAAAAAAATAGATACTTTTTAAACTATGGTTCCAGTCACCATCACACAAATAAAAATATCTCTGAAATTCTCAAACGGCTTATCAAAGGTTTTATTAAAAGTTATGGCACTTTCATAAGCGAAGCATATCCTATCCATTAAGAGCAAAACGAGTCTCATGTATGTACATATGTATGTATGGAGTTTCTCGCCCTGACGGCTAATCTGCCCTTACGTACTGGTAAGAAACGCAATGTAGCATGCCACTCTCAAATATTATTTTCTTCCTTCTGAAATATGTAAAACCTCTCCCGAATATGTAATGGAAATTGATAGTTCGCTGATCTAAATAAATAGAGTTAGATCGTCTCCGTTGGTCGTGTAAAGTTACGCTGATGAATGTTTAATATTAGCCTCTGGCGATTGCATTGATTACCTTTGTCAGAAAGTAAAAGGCTTTGAGAGATAGCTTTCTCTCTTTTTCTCTCTTTCTCGCTCCTTCCTTGTACGGAGTCTTATCCCCTCCCCAAACAAAANATCTCTCAAATCTTTCTCGCTCCTTCCTTGTACGGAGTCTTATCCCCTCCCCAAACAAAATTAGCAACAACTCTTTTCACCAGCTGGAAGAATGAGGTAAAGCTACAATAGACTTCCACGACTAGGGCACATCAATATCGACGGCAATTTGCGCTCTTTCTCCGCTCACCCAACAGCGATTGCCAATAAAGTGCGGAGCCGCCACAAGGCCTCAAATCGCTCGCTGGTAGCATTTGCTAAAAAAAAAAATTGGAGGCAACGAGCAAGGCAATTGGTCGGCCTATTCTAAATTCCATTGCGCCTGTTTGGCCTGTTTTGGAGACTACTTAGTAAAACGCAGTGATTGAAGCTTCAGACTTGTCTCCACACCGCGGTCAGGCTGCACTATTTTATTATCAGCAAGCAATTCCCGCTCACCTACTACCGCAGGGAGCATGCGAACAGATACTTGCTGGAAGTATGCCCGTTCCAATATTTTGTCAGGAAAGAGTGAGACAACAGGCTGTCAAAATTCCTTGGACACTACTATTCACCCAAACGAAATTAGGGCTTTTTCCGTTTCCTTAGGTACTGGATACCAAGCTTTTAACTAAATAGTATGCCTCTCAGTACTTGTTTGGGAGCTTTGTAGCCTGTCTTGCATTGTATGTTTACTAACTTATTTCTTCTATAAATTAATTTCGCAGTATCAGCGAACAAACAAATCCGTCCTTATCATGGGGTGGAAGACTTATACCCATCACGGAGCATTTGTATCCAATTAAAAATTTAACGCTCCTTAAGACCAAGGGTGGCATGCAAGGCACCTTTAAAATGCGAATACCCAAGCAATTAGTATCTAAGGCGGAGCTCAAACTTCGTTCATATGTAATCGATGATTTACATTGCGGCGGACCTGAAGACTTCATAAAGGTAACAGGTAAAAGATAATCACACCGGCTAAATGATAATAAAGTACATGCACATGTATTTCTTTTATTTTTATTCTTGTAGTGCCCGATTTCTTAAAAGAATACGAAAATATTGAGGCTAGTGATTTTAATTTGGTAAGTGTATTGGCCGTGAAAGTTCTGGTGCAGCCATTCAATTGTTCATATGTATTTCTAAATATTTTCACAGGGCATTGCGTTAAGTATTGTCAGTGCACTTTTTCTTTGCATCATTGTATTGGTATTGACAATTTGTTGTTGGAAGCGAAATAAATTGGCGAAATTTCAAAATGGCGTTTTGGAAAAGGACGAAAGCTGCTTAGCAAACATGGTGGAGTAAGTAATCATTATTATACGAGTAATTAGAAAATTACTTATTTACAGGGCAACACTGGCTAAGATAGTAAAAAGTCGTAAGACAAATGAAAGACAGATGGCAAGACAGTTCGAAAGACTTTTGTTATTCTAGCATTAAAGCATCCTACAGTTCCATAAGAAACGTAACTCTTCTTCTTACCATTTTTTCTGGCAAATATTGCTCGGAAAAAAATTTGTCCGTAGCAACACTGAGTCGTAGTGAACATTTATTTTGAGAGACAGTCGCAATGGCCCAATGAGCAGAGCACTAGCGTGCGATTCGAGAGATCCAAGTTCGAGTCCTGGAGCCCAGGAATATTTATTTTTTATTTTTATACCTTTCATGAGCATGAAATGGTATTATAACTTTGGTCCGATGTTTGTAAGTACCAGAATAAGAAGAGATACTTAAATGATCGGCACGTCGAGCTGAGCCGATTTAGCCATGTCCGTCTGTCTGTCTGTCCGTCTGTTTGTATGCAATCTAGTCTCTCAGTTTTCGAGATATCCGGATGAAATTTGGCAGGTGGGTGTATTTTTATAATGTATTAATCATTTGTCTGAACCGGAAGAATCGGACCACTATAACATATAGCTCCCATACAACTGATTGTTCAGATATGAGATTTTTCATTATAATTTCTCCATTTATGGAGCTAAGAACATGAAATTTTGCAATACTTGCACCTATTATCAACAGCGAACTTAGAGTGAAAATTACAATGATCGGGTAACTATAACCTATAGCTCCCATACTACTGATTGTTCAGATATAAGAAGATAAGATAACTTCTCCATTTAAGTAGATAGTAACATGAAATTCTGAACTGTTGTCACTAATTATCAAAAGAATACTTTCAGAGAAAATGGCGAAGATCGGGTCACTATAACCTATAGCTCCCATACTACTGATTGTTCAGATATAAGAAGATAAGATAACTTCTCCATTTAAGTAGATAGTAACATGAAATTCTGAACTGTTGTCACTAATTATCAAAAGAATACTTTCAGAGAAAATGGCGAAGATCGGGTCGCTATAACCTATAGCCCCCATACAACTGATTGTTCGGATATGAGATTTTTTGCCATAACTTCTCCATTTATGCAGCTAGGAACATGAGAATTCTCACCGTTTTCACTCATTGTTAACAAAATATTTACAGTGGAAATAACAAAGATCGGGTCACTATAACATACATCTCCCATTCAACTGATTGTTCAGTTATGAGAATTTTCGTTATGACTCCTCGATTTAGGTAGCTAGGAACATGAAATTTTACAATACATCCAATGATTATCAACAGAATTCTTACAGTGAAAATAACAAAGATCGGGTGACTTTTACATCTAGCTCCCATACAACTGATTGTTCAGATATGAGGTTCTTTGTTATAACTTCTAAATATATGCAGCTAGAAACATGAAATTTCGCTCTATTTTCACTCATTATCAACAGATAGTTTACAGTAAACTTAACAAAGATCGGGTCACTGTAACTTATATATTGCCTCCTTATAACTGATTGTTCAGATATGGGGTTTTAATGTAAAACTAATTTATTTGTACAGCTAAAACCGATAATTTCGTAAGCTATTGTATAAATAATAACACAAAGTCTACTGAGAAAATTGTCAAAATCTATGCTGTATAAGCCTTATCTCGTATACCATTGATTGTTTCTATACCAGTTTTTGCGTAATATCTCCTTTATGTAGGAAGCTAAACCCATTAAATTGTGTTACCGGTTTACATACCGATCACACAGCAGTGAAAATCACTTTGATTGGTGCTATATAAGGTATATCTTCCATACCTCTGATTGTTTAGATAAGATTTTTTATATATGTAACTCCTCTATCTATGTGTGCTGTGAATATATGTGTGCTGTGAATAAATTTTTTCAAATGCTTTAATCTGTTAAAGTAAAGTTTTCAGATGTTCATGAAAGGTATGAAGCCTTCGCTATTGCCGAAGACAGCGCTGCTCTTACTTGTTTTAATACATTTTTTTTTCTTTTTGATTTAATTTTCTTTCAATTTGAAGATAGCATTTCATTAAATGTTTTACTCTTATTTTTTGTAGTTTTTTAAATATTTTGTATTATTTTTTTCCTAATTAATTTTTTTTTAGTTTTTAGATATCCAACCTTCTAATTGCTCTCGCCCTTTTTTGAATACATTTGTTTCTTTTCTTTTTTTGAACTAAAAAAAAATATTTCCTTAAATTTTTAGATTTTATTGTTTATAAAAGAAAGATATCTTTTTAATTTCATTTAATTTTTAGAAACTTATTGTTATTTATTTTTTCCTTTTTTGAGTTTAATTTTTTTTCTTCTGTCAATTTCTTTTGTTTTTATTTATTTTATTGTTTTAAGAAGAAAAATATATTTTTTTATTTCATTTATTTTTGAAGCTCTTATGTTTTCGTTTTACTTTTTTTTAATTTTTAGATCTTGCTTTAAAGTAAAAGTTTTCTTTTGTTTTTTTTAGGTATACATACAGTGACGGGCAAAACTGTAACATGGTGTAACATTTTTTAATTCAGCCATCGCTATCTTTCCAAGTTCTAGCGACTTTCATACTTTTGTTGTATATTCTTGTTGGTACATCCCTACTCCCTCTCTCATAATGATTTGAAGTCAATGCAACAACAATAAAAAAACCAGCAGACAAAAATGTAAATAAAGGCAGATGTTACAGTTTTGCACTCATATATTTTTAAGAACTTTTTAACAATCTTCACGAAAAAAAAAGAACTACTAACACAATGTTCAGTACTCTTTTGCTTGTTTCAGTTCCTGGATGCGATTTGGCATACCTTATTTGTATCTTTGTAAAAACTCTGGTGGTATATCCTTAGTTTGCTTTCACAGCTCATGTAATCGATATTACGGACTTTGATACTTATTAAGCTGTGCTTTTAGTTGATTTCGCAAATTCTCGATGAGATTCATGTCCGCGGATTGTGGGGGTCATTTGAAATTAGCAAATTTTTGCTTTTGTATCCAGGCTTTGTGAACATGTGCAGTGTGTTTTGAGTGATTTTTCAGCAGAAACTCTCATTTTTTCGACTACACCTTGCAAATTTTGTTGAAATATGAACAGATACTGTTCCTTTCGCATAATACGTACTAACGGACAAAAAAAAATGTTTAAATACAACCCCAAACTATTATTGACCGACCACTGTGATTCACAGTTTTCCTTACATAATGCGCATGGGCCCAATTTGGGTCTTTGATCCAATACCGTGCCCGACCAGCTGATTGAAAGCGATTAATTTAGTCTTGTCAGACCAAATAACCTTCAATTGAAACTTAAAAATATGTTTTTTATTGCATTCTGAACGGCCTAATATATCCCAATAGGCAACGGTTCGGTTTTCGTGCGATGCTGCGAAATGCTGCCACACTCGCACATGTATTATGATCAAATTTGCTTTTTTCTTCTTTATGATGCCTTTGCGCTCAATTTGGCAATTCTTCGCCTTGCTGTCTCTTGATTTGCATTAAAGTTTAATACCTTAAGCGCTTCTGTAATAGTGGCTGCATCGCTGCTTGCTGCTAAGTTCACAAGATATCGTACCGTAATATTTTTTGACATACTTCCTTTGTCCTTGGGAACACTTCAGGCTATATTTGCTGTCAGTCTTAACATTTTCAAGTAGCGAATTCCAAAATTTTTTGCCACTTTTCGTGCGGTCCCGCCTTTCCGCAGTAAATCTATTGTTTACATTTATGGTTCCTGATTAACTATGTTATTTACTGGAGATCACTTCTTCAATACAATACAATATAGAAAAAAGTCATCTGTCTTCCAACTAAGTAAAAGATAACTGTCAAATGCAAAACTGAGAGTGAGTGCAAAACTGTAACATCTGCCTTAATTTACATTTTTGTCTGCTGGTTTTTTTATTGTTGTTGTATTGACTTCAAATCGTTATGAGAGAGGGATGTACCAATAAGAATATACAACAAAAGGAACTTGGAAATATAGCGGTAGCTGAAATAAAAAGTGTTACACCATGTTACAGTTTTGCTCGTCACTGTAAGTGCTAGTTTCTTCTTTTTTTACTTCTCTCTTTCTAATTTAGTTTTTAGATTTTATTGCTATCCAAAGATCTCGGGAGATCGATTTATATTTTGCCGATTTCTTCCAGCATCGATTATTTTTATTTCGATTCGAATCGATTCAAAAATCGATTTTTTTATTTCGATCATTTGCGCGAGCTGTTCCATCAATCGCAATGGCCGAATGAGCAAAGCATTTGGGAGATCCGAGGTTCAAATCATCAGGCAGCGGACTTTTTCCCTTTTTTAAATTATGCAAATTGTATTTATTTGTTTTAATTTAAATTATATTATTTTAGTAAATATTGTATGAGCACGTTCAATACGCATTTATATAAACATTTTCTTTTGTTTAACTTTTAGAATGGAGGACAACATTAACTATGTAGATAAATACGTAGAGGTAAAGAATTCCAAAGCATAAATGTTTATTTCCATAATACTTATCTTAGTAAAATAGGTTCTTTTGACCAGACCTTTTGTCATATGTGGCGGACTTTATGTGACAGAAAACTTGTATAAATATTGTCGGATTTACTTTAATCTTGGTAGTACATACATACATAAGTGGTTTTGGGATCGCTGATTACGAATATGAAGTCAGATTTTCAAAATTCAAAATGTCGGATCCAATGTCGCAGTCGACCCCAAAAAATCCCTGGAAACCAAAATTAAAGTAAATGCCTGCCACATAAAGCCCGCCGGGGTTTTCGAGGTTGAAAAAAGTTTTGACATGATATAGCAACTTCGGTATGGTCAAAAGAACCATTAATCGATTTTTTTTGTGGTCCTGTTGTATTATTCTAAATTTAATCTTATTACACCGCGCAACAAAAGTCAAAAAAATTCAAAACGCACGAAACAATCAATATACTATATAGTAAAAATACTCTTTTAATTTTCCCCTCTGACGTTAGGATTTTTTAAAAGACTTTGACATTTCAAAGCAATGATAAATTCAAAAAAATATTTTAAAAATTCCGTGCAATGTAGAATAATAATATGGCTACCAAATAAAAGATGAAAATCCTCAGAGTTAAAAAAATTAAGGATAGTCAAGGACAAAATATTAAAAGGACATTTTCAATACCTATTCGATCTTATGCACCAGCAAATTTAATCTTGTTATTTTCTGGGCTAATAACCATTTAAATTTAAAAATTTTTTAAGCTTGAGGCAGTTATTAATGAAAATTGTTTTTCACAAAAATTTTCATTAATGATGTATTCGCAATGTTTTTTACAAAAATTTTCATTAATAACGCCCCCAAAGTCAATAAAAAAGAATCAAATGTTATGTATGTATTTGATACCCATATTGTTATTCCGAATTTTTAAAATAATTTTTTGAGTTAACCAAAGAGAAAATCAAAAACAGAGTTTTACTTTTTTGGTCCCTAGTTTCGCGAGTATAATGATTTTTGTGCGTAAAAATTTTGTGTACCGGGGAATTAAAAAATAGTATGTTATATTTCTGCAGGAAGCTCAGGCCAAAGGTCTCGCTGATGTATTCGAAATACCGCATAGTGCTATACATATTGGTCCCGAAATTGGGGAAGGAGCATTTGGGCGCGTTTACAAAGCCGTTGCCGTGAACATACGACGAATGCGAGGCAGTCATGTTGTAGCGGTGAAGCAACTGAAAAGTAATGTCCTAAATACTATATACAATTTTTTATAATAACTGGCTTAACTTTCATGGACAATTTTTACAGAGAATCCAACCTCAGATGAAGTGGCAGAATTCTTGAGTGAAATCGAAATGTTGAAGGGCGTAGGCATACACAACAATATTGTTTGCTTCTTTGGATGTTGCACCATAAGAGCGCCATATCTGATGATCATGGAGTTTGTGGGACGTGGTGATTTGGTAATTCTGACTAAATATTTATTCAGCATTTCAGTGCGCTTTGGTATTTACTGTTTTTTTTTTTTGTTCATCATTGCAGTTAACTTACCTGCGCACTGTACGTCAAGCAACGACAAAATTTAAGGCGAACGGCAATATCAGCAGCAACTATGCGAGTCGTGAACAGTCGCAATCTAAAACCAAAGTTAAATACATAGAACTAAAGTTATCCACACAATCTGTGGATAGCGGAAGCGAGACTTCACGTCAGCCAAAAGCATCCGTCGCTGAAAGTTAGTCGGGCTAAAGCAAATGCTGTTATGAAAATACATAATTGGTTAATACTTGCTTACGTTTTTTTTTTATAGCCACTTACACAATTGTCAATGACGAGGACTACAATGATACGAGTACATTCGAGTATATTTTAGATCACAAAGAATTGCACAACTTTGCTCTGCAAATTGCCAATGGTATGCAATTTCTTGAAGAACAGCAAATCACGCATAGGTGAGGAAGTTAACTCAGCTGCATTATTTATTTATTTTTTTTTGTTTTTTGTTTTACTAATTAACCCTCTCATTTAGGGATCTGGCTGCCCGTAATGTGCTGATAGATGATCACAAAACTTTGAAAATATCCGATTTCGGTCTATCACGCCATGGTATTTATACCAATACGAAAACTCGAAAGGTATGTATTTTTATGAAAAAATTCTAACGCGTAGGCTTGAAAGTAAAAATTGCACATACAATTTTTAGTTTTATATTATTTGGACATAATTTTTTGGTTGATTAAAAATTGTTCAAACGTACATTCTTCGCTGCTCATTAACTGGAAATATTTTCTTTTGGTTTAATGGTTGGTTTGGTTTAGTTAAAAATCTGGACATCTTTTTTAATAATTTAAAAACTAGATATGATGTTTTTGGCGTTATAAAAACTAGCCATAAATCTGTGGTCATTTAAAATTTGTAAATAAATCAGTCCTAAACTTACCTCAAATTTTAATTACATAAAACGTGAATATAACATTTAAAATCAAGAAATACATATGTATGTACATTTTCTATTATCCAAAAACTGAGTATAAATTTGTAAATATTTAAAAGTTAAAAATTGGACATAAATTTAGCGCACCTCATTAATTTATATTGTTTTTGGTAATTTAAAAACTGCACATACATTTTTGGCAGCTCATAAATTGGACATAATGAATACGACTTAATTTTAGTATTAATAAATGAATACAAAAATTTTTCAAGCTGTTCTTCAACTTCAACCAAAACGAAAAACTAAAATTTGATGGGTCGTTTAACGCGTGAAGGTCAAACCAACGTGAAGGTTGATCCAACAATTTGACCATGTAAGGTCCCTATAAAAGATTAGCACAAANGTCAAATTACACAGACACGCCGTTTGATCCAACAATTTGACCATGTAAGGTCCCTATAAAAGATTAGCACAAATATTTGGTCATTTAAAAAACAAGAAAATTTGTTTGGCATTATAATAACTGTTCATTTAAAAGCTGTAAATAAAATCAGTTTGACATAATATAATTTTTTGTAATTTAAGAGCTGGATTTAAATTTTAAATTAAGGGTTTTGGTCTTTTAATAACTAGACAGAAGTTTTTAGTTATTTTAAAAATGAATCAACAAATTTATGGCGTTATTCATAAAAAATAAAGTAGCTTTAAAAAAGGTTTATAAACTAAAAAATTTATGAAAACTTCATTTTACAAAGCTCTTTAAACCTACTTAATTTTTTTTTAATAAGCCCATTAGTGTTATAATCTTTCGTTTTTGAAAAATGGCCGATAGAAAGTAGACAACGACTATTGAACGGTAAATGCTTTTCTTGTGCAGTTCCGTTCGTATTTTGTGTCAACGTTTTACAAATCTAAGATTTCATACATATTTTGTGTCACATTCATACATCTAAACTTACAAACATTTATGTCCATTCCTTAAGTGGTAAGAAAATTATGTTCATTTCTCAATAGCTCAAAGTTAATCCCCAGTTTTTAAATAGCCGAAAAATTACACAGCCTAACAAAAAAAAGTAATCCGCCGAACACGAATCTGAAGTCCATTTTGCTTCATCACGTCAGGATTTTTCCTAGCCTCAAAAAACATGGCGGATATTATGGGTGGCTGACACATAACGATTTTTGAGGATAGGAAAAAATCCTACCGCGATGGAGCAAAACGGACTTCATATTCGTGTTCAGCGCATCAGAATACACGAGGCAAAGATAGTCCAATCCCCGAACACCACCACTTGTTTTTGTGTGGCTGTGCTATGAACAATTTTAAGTTTTTGAATGAGCAATTGGTTTATGTCCAGTATTTTCATCAAAAAACATGTGTGTCCTGTACACACACACAGAAACAGCTTTGAAATGACCAAAAATATTGCACAGTTTTTATAAGACCGAAATTGCATCCAGTTATCAAATGACCATGGGTTGCAATGGGGTATAGTCGTTGTGCTGGTATGCAGTAACAGTTGCACGGCTATACTCAATCCCCACTCTTGCGTCCTCGTTCGCGCACTCTGAGCAACGTGAGCAACCTATGTGCGAGATGAGATAACCAATCCGCTAAATAAATAAGCTTACATTCAGTTCTCAAATTATCAGAAATTTAGGTGGTCAAAAAATATTCCTCTTTTTAAGCAAGAAAAAGTTATGCAAATTTGTAAACTACCTAAAATGTAATGCAATTTTTAAATTATCAAATAAATTATGGCTAAAATCCATGTTCAGTTTCATCATCAAAACATGTTCAGTATTTAATTATCAAAAACGTATGTATATATGCATGTACAGGGTCCACAGGGTCCGATGGATTTCGCGGTGACCTTGGATCTAACTTTGACCTTGATTTTGAAGGTTATTTCAAGGTCAACTTTGAAATTTAAAATGAGAACCCCTATTTGCAACCTCGGAATCGGAAAGTGCGTAAAATTATATGATCAGATATGCCCTTGCTTGAGTCCTCTATCGCCCCCAATGTAAGGGCATAACTGAACGTATAATTTCAATCTCTTTCCCATTTCGGGGTCAAAAATAGGGGTCCCCATCAAAAATTTCACAGTTTACGCTGAAATAACCTTGCAAATTAAGGTCGAAGTCATATCCCTCTGAGAAAATCGTCCATCCCGGAACTTTTGACGGACCCTATATGTATGTTTGTAAGTGCATATGTACTATATAATCTTCAACTAATCTCTCATCCGCAGCTACCTTTACGCTGGCTCTCCATTGAGGCAATTCGCGATAATGTGTACTCGAACAAAAGTGACATCTGGGCATATGGTGTCGTTTTATGGGAAATTGGCACCTTGGGCGCTTCGCCATATCCTACTATCAGCAATCATGAGCTGATTCCATATTTGGTGTCCGGTAAACGACTGGAAAAGCCAGAAATTTGCACTGATCAAGTCTATGCTATTATGACGCAATGCTGGGATGAAAATCCAGACGAGCGACCAACTTTTGCCGAGCTCTACAAGGCTCTAAGCCCACGCACGGCTTACGTTGATATTAACAGTCTGAGTGATGATTACGTCTTTCCACCTATTAGTAATTAAATTTACACTAAGTATATATGTATACAATAAACTATAAAAAAAAAAACAAAAAACACAAATACTTAGGAGATTTAGCATAGAATAAGCTGTGTGTGTAAAGTATATATATAAATACATACTTTTATAAAGTGTTAATTAATATGATGTATTAATTTTTGTAATTAATAGAAATTATGTAATTTTTACCGTCTACTAAGAATAGTTTCATGTGCGTAATTTATAATGTGTTGGTACAAGCAAGTGCGAAATAATGACATAGTATTGTATTTAATAAAACCAAAGGCATTTTAAAATAAATATGTATGTACATATCACACGGAACCAAAATAAAACTTGTACTCGTATTTACATATGTATGAAGAAAAAAAGAATAATATGTACGTAAATCGAGATACCAAAATGTATATTACAATACCAATTACTGCTCGTTTTTATAAGGTTCGTCCAGGTTTACTCACGCCAAGTGTAAACAGACCCTTCTGCACTTGAGCATTGCATTGGGAACCTTATATTTGTCATCGAAAAGTAAGTGAATCACAAATAATCGGCCCTATTATGGTTGTCGACGTCGATGTCGATGTTATTTTGTCATCAAAAAATAGCCCTCATCAGTCCAACTCCGGTTTTGCTGACCACAGTAGTTTTACGAGGAACACCTTTCCGCAAAAATACTGGGGTCAGCGTAGCGGGCATTGGACTTGCGAGGTCTATTTTTTTAACAAAATATTCGTTATCTGTTCTCTTGGATATACAAGGTGCTCTACAGGAACTCGGACTCCGCAACTCTCTGCCAGCGTTGGTTAACAATCTCTTCCGACTTAACAATCTCTTTCAACTCAGAACTACTTATGACACTCCTATGTCAAAAGGATGCAGTAAGGGTGACTACCTAAGCGGCTGTGCTCTCACCTCTACTATGGAAAATTTCCGTTGACAGCTCGCTTAAAAGAGGCAGAAATAAGGCGCGTTAGGGCAGTAGCTTACGCCGATCAGATAGGTCCATTCAATACCAAAAAAAAA